CAATTAGTAGTTTGTAAGCTAGTAAAATAAGAAGCATCTATACGGCTTTAGTCTCTGCTCAAGTCATGTAAATAATTAATTAAACAAAATGTTGGTTTTACGTATATGATGAATGATGTGTACAACTTTTCATCGATCTTACGACTAATCTTATAATATAGTGTTTTGAAACTAATTTCCCTGAAATTTTCAAAACTTAATCCGTCATTTTCTACCACACGCATTATTAGGTCACATTTTCCTCATATGCGTTATTTTGTAAAATGATGTGTGTTGTTTAATGGTGTGTTTGATTTTTATATTTTCAATTTTTGAATTTCTAATTTTATTGTAGATGAAAACTTTTATCAATATACAATATACATAATTTGAATTATAAAGTATTTCAGACACAACTTTTTCTGTCCATATATTTGATTTTGATTCCAAAGGAATGTTCTGATCGTCACAAAATAAATATTAGAAGATAGGAAATAAGTTCTAATCGGTACTTATTTATATTGAATTTCCAAAAAATATTCTTAATAATTGCGAAAAATGACAAAAGAAGCATGAGAAAATAGCATAATATATGACGACCAGTTTTTGACAAAAAAAAACTTCGTTTTCATTGAAACTCAAAAATAACAACAGAAGAAACTTGGAAATTTCACTGAATACAAATCGTAAGTCATAAATGGTATAATCTTCTAAAGATTTGTTTTTTCTATTTATAGATATTTTAAAGTATTATGTTTTTTAGCTTCTTTTCGTAAATGTTATCAAAATGTCTTGAAAATAAAATTTAAAATTTTTTATAAGATTTTCTATGGCAAACAAAAAAATTACTAGAAAGTTGCAAAAACATTATATTAACGTGACAAAATGAAATCTTTATGAAATAGAAATTATAAACGAATTTTCATTAACTCAAAACAATTACTGAGTGGGTACGTACATTGATTTTGTGCGAGATACTGACATCGTTATCGGTTTGGTACTGAAATTAATCGCTTCCCGACATTTCCTCATAAAATACTATTTGTTAAGGTTATGGTGTGCAGCAAAAAAAAGCAAAACTTCTTGTGACTCATATGTAGCATCAAAATCAGACTTAATCGAATGTCACTTACCGGATGGACTACTACATGTTTTTATTTTCACTACTTGTCATAACCTTATCTCGACACAAGTTTACCTTGTCTACCAGATATTGTATTTTGTCGCAAAAAACGAAATATCGAATAAAATATGAATTAATAAATTTAATAAATAAAATTTACCATAAAATTAAAAATATAAAGTATTTTTATAAACGGAGGATCATACTGAGATATTGTAATTGATTACGAGCAAATAATAATCCACGTAACGTTAAGTTCCACAATTTGCAAGGATAACTGTTTATTTTTTGTAGTTTAAATTTGTGTGGTGAGGTGGTTCCATGTTTAACCTAAAATTAGTTACTTTTATCGAATATTAAGACTAATTTTACATAATTACATTAGTCGGATGTATAGATTAATAAATTAATAATGATATTTTGAGAATAAAATATTTGTAGTTAAAGTAGAAATCCTTCAATTGAATATAATAAAAAATACTAAGTTCATGGTAAAACACTTCAGTGACTTAATAAGTAAAAACAACCATTGTCAAGCTAACCAACGATCGAATTTTAGTTGAAACAGATATACATTTAATGGCTATGTTGAACAAATTAAAATTTTAATGATAAAAATTAAATTTTTACCATTTTTTTTTTTAAACGAGGTTTCATATTATACGGTAATATTTCGTTTTATTTAAACAACTTCGTATAAAATTCTATTGACGATTTATATTTTTGTACTATTCTACTATTCGGAGAAATAAAATTATTTTATATAAATAATCTATTATTACTTAAACTTAACTGCATTATAAACTCGTTTTCATACTGGCAAATATTTAAAACTATTCACTTTTCCAAAAATTACGATCGTATAATAAATGCAATATTATGAATATTTTATAAATTAATCTTTTACAATTAAATAATATTTTAATAGTATATTATTTCAACTTAAATAAGTACGATGAATTTTAATTCAATAATAAAAAAAAAATTAAAAAAATATTTTATTACTTATCTTCATAAATTTTCAAATTTAGTATTGACATTATATTTTGAGATGAGCATCACACGTGCACGGTAATAATTCACTATTATAAACTATTTGAACTCTTGACAAGTTATGAGCAATAGATACGTAGATTTATGATATGCGTTTAATAGCGTTCGCTCTGTTTAAAGTCAACATCTGAAGATATTACTGCTTGTGGATTAACGGTTTTAAATGGTAATGAGGGGGGAAGTGGAGGTTGTAGAACAGAAAAAAAAGTTACCGAATTTACTTATTGTAAATTACTATATAAGCTACAAATATTCATCACGTCAAATTATAAACACGACGAACATCGCCATAGCCATGGAGATTTCTTGCCCATTTCCTTAGGTTGACTTGGAGGTCGGTGCGGTTGCTCCTTACACCTATTTCATAGCTTAAATTACAGGTACTTGGTCAATCAGTTAAGGAAAGTCTTCGAAGATCTATAGAACGAACAATCGTATTGGTGTTATGACTAGGCTGAGTATATTTGCTACGTTCGAACAATGGTATCTCATCTGTGCCTTACTGCCAGATATATTTAACAACTAATATCTTGCCTAGTTAACGTCCTAGATACGGTTTGAAAACGATGTACCTTAGATAGTGTAAAACCACTGAGCGTTTTGAGAATGTTTAAAAATTTGCTCGTTGAGTTCAAAAGTTGAAACACTTTATAGACAGCACTTTTTTTGATTATAGTAAATGATGGATGATTAAATAAATTTAAAAAGGTATAAAGGTATAAAGGTATAAAGCTATAAAGGTTCATCGTAGCATATTTTCTTTTCATGTTCTAATTTTATGGTTTCTTTTTTTTTTTAATTCTTTTTTTTTTAGCTGTTTTTAACAGTTTAATCGTGAACTTCATACTGAATCATGTTTATTAATACATAATTTTATTTATTCATTCTTGAAATCTTGATATCTGGTTAAACTCTGATTCTTTGTGTTGATCACAATAAAATATGTACTTGCTAAAAAAATTTCCAATTAATAAAGATGATTTATCGATGATAATCTAGTAAAAATTATAATTAAAATTAAAAATATAATTCAAGTATTATTATAAACATTTAATTTTCTAAGCTTACTATTAAAAGAAATTACTTATGCTTATAGTATTATATTTTATCAAAATTGTACATTTTTCTTTCGGTATTGCGACCTATATTGCTTCTTAAATTTTATTTTTAGATATAGATAATAGTTTTTGGCAATGCCTGATATTGAATTTGTTGTAAATTAAATATGATTCTTAATAATATCGTAGACCTTTAAAAACGAAATTTGTCAAAAATTACCTTATTTTATTAAAAATATGTATAACAATTTCAATATGATCCAATAGTATTTTTATTTTAAATTATTAATTTAATGAAATAATGTATGCCAATAAAGTTATATTCGAATAAGAACAAAAGTGATTAAATGTATCGATTGTTCATTAGACTTTTTTGATGACAATTATCAAATGACCGATTCAATCCCATATCACTGTGTTTTTTGTGTGATGTGTGTGACGCAGAAATAATGCACTCGACCAGTGTGTCTTACATAATAAATCCGAACACAAAATACATAACCTACGGAAATCTTAGATGATGTGTATGAAAGGTTGCTAAAATCGTTTACATACTTGGTAATATTACAGCAGTTAATCGATTTCAGAAGTAAGTTACATATCATAATAAACATTTACGCAATTTATTATTATTTGTGTTTGTTGTATTAAGGAATCGTTTAATTTTACCAATAATGTACTCATCAATTTAAAGTCAAATGTTTTTTCTTTATTATTTCATAAAATAATTTTCGATTTGAACAAAAGGAACTTAGAAAATAAATAAATACTGAAGGATGTATACTCTATTAATTTATAATGGTTTACTTGGATTGGAACATTTTTCCAAAAAGTTTAAAAATATTATTTTGGAAAATATATTGGTATGTCGACAAAGTCACGTAGTTCGAAAACACGGTCGGTGAATTATCTTACTATACCGTTTAATGCTAACTTTTAATTTACATAACAAGTGTTTTATTTAGAGTTATCTGGGCGTGATGTAATCAATAAAAATGTTTGATTATAATTATGGACTTCATATAACTTCAGTATTATAGTTATATTCATCCTATTAGTTTGGGAATTGTTGATCGTAATTTTTTATGCACATCTTATAAACCACTGAACTCGTGACCGAACCATTGTTCTTTATACGAAATTAAAGGAGCGTAATGATTATAATATCTACTTCAATAAATCGTGGAATAATTAACGTTTGCCTCGTGCAAATGGTTTTTAGTTTTCAACAAATCAAAAACACCGTATCATTTCGTTCGGTGGTAATTTTTTTTTTTTCAAATATTGTCGCAAATAAAGAATAGTGTTCGAGTTTGGAACGATTAAGGAGACAACAATGTAATCGTTCGTTGCACGTGTAGACCACCAGTAGCACATTAGTTGTTTTCAATACGAAATTATTAATATCATACCGCCTCTCCATATCTGTGTCTCGTTCACTCTCTGTTCATCCTCCGCGTGTTATCAATATTTTTCTTTACTTTTTGTTTCTTTTTCCTTTCAAACGAGTCTCGACGTTGCACGTGAAAATAATAACGGTATTGGCACGTCGCGTTATGACCCGATGAAATCATAAATATATATATATATATATATCTCATCGGCCGCCTCCCACCACCTCGTTAGCTGCGGACAAGGTCGTCGGTAAGTAAAATAAAAACATGATAAGTAAAAAACTTACAGCGTAACACGATAATATCATCTGGTCATTATCGAACGAGGTCCACTAGCGAGGGTCTCGCGTCCTCCACCTGCTCGTCCGCGGCCGGACCGGATCCGGACACGCACGTGGTCTTCGGCGGCGGAGGCAACGGCGCCGGCGGCGGCAAAACAGTCGGCGGCGTCGACGGGTACGCTGTGTTGATCGCCACCCGGTGGCAGTCCGTCGACGCGCGTCTTCCGCGGTACAGTTCGATTCGCACGCAACAGCCGCGCGGTCCTTTGCCGGTGCTCCAAACGCCGAGCGCGCAAACCGCCCGCCCACGATTTTGGTCGTCATCGTGATGTGCGCCCTTCCAACGACATCGCGTGAGTACCAACACAAGTCTACGCATGATATTACGCTTGCACACGTCCTGGGAGGGGGCTTTGTTCAGAATATTTTTCCCCCGTCTACTAAATCCGCTCTCCGACCGCTTTTCCCCACGGAAGTGATTGCAACGGGTTCCCACGTGAAAAAAAACTCGACATTTTTCGTATAATGATTTAATTTTTTCTCGTTAAAAATCTGCTAGGACTTATCAGTTGACGTTACCGTCTCTACTGGTTTTGCAACAGCACTCGTTCGACCATGTCGCCGATACGATACAGGACGTTCTGCCTTACGCATGAACCTCACGATCGTCGTACTACATAATAATCGTTCCCGAAATTAGGATGAATGATGGAGTTTTGATATTTATTTTTTTTTCTGATTACATGTTAAAACAAATCGAAAACGTTTTTTTGAATAATTCCAGTCAGTACATTTTTATCGTATTATGCTATTGCTATACTGAGAAGTTCCTGATCTACTTGACGTTACTATAAGTAATAAATAATTAGTACCTATACTGAAAATGGATGTAAAACGTAACCGGATGTTAGACTGCTCGCGCATTACGTTTCCGAGTGATACTGAAGGAAAAAAATCGTTCATCCGTACTTAAACTGTGATATAAATCTTCTCGGGAAGGCACGGTACTGTCGAATACTAGAAACTATGAAACAATATCTTTGAAATTGTTTTTAACCCTTCGTTAGGCGCGTGGTCTACAATTGTAGACCAGCTATAAATATTGACAATTTTAGTATTTATAAAAAAAATTGTAGCGCCGTGTACTTTATAGTAGCTGTTGTTTATCTATACTACTGTGTGATCAGTATTATCGTGACCGTTGACGAGCGTTGTGTAACGAAACATATCAACAATATTCCGAGTGGTCTGCAGGCCACGCGACTTACTATGTTATATTTTTTTATAAATTTGCAAAATTCAATTTTTTTTTTTTTTAATCGGATAAAGTTATATAACATGTTATTATTTTTAATATACCTGTTGGGTCATGACATTTTGTTTTGTATAAACTATAAAATTCGATAATTATACTTTATATCAATATTATGGAATTTAGTTTACAAGAGGAAATGATTACTAAGAAAAATAAGCATCAAAACTCATATACACTATCATTTCCTATAAAGAAATTACAGTTATAATACCAATATTTATTCGACGATAACTAGTAAAAAAATATAAAAATGTATTTTAATTTTATTTCGGGTCTTTTGTAAACATGTCAATTTCAGATATTTATAGTTTCAGACCGATTGGAAGGTAATTGAGTAACTAGTTTTAAAAATAAAAATTTTATGAATGAAATTTTTATAATGTCACTATTAACAAGATAATTATATTTTCTTCAATTATTTATGGATTATTTTTGGTATTTTAATGCTCATACGATTCTTTATATGCATATAAATACTTAAAATTTTTAATATAAACAAAAATAATTAAAATTAATTTAATTTCTCATAAATTAAAATGGTCTATATGTGTATACCACGTGCCTAAATAAGTAAAAATATACTTCATGCCTAATGAAGGGTTAATGTTGTACTTCGACACATAAAAGAGTATTGGAATACTCGCACGGTTTATATGTTTTCCATCCGGGCACGAGAATACCTTTGCATGTGTCTTTAAAGTTGTATCTCGACATATAAAAGGGTATTAGAATACTCGCATAGTTTTTATATATATATATATATATATGTTTTCCATACGGGTGTAAGAATACCTTTTCAAATGCGTTACACATAATATCACCTGCTTACTCGTAACAATAACATGGTGCAAGTTCGCAAAAAAAAATATTGTAGATAAAATTTTTTGACAATATTATGTCGTTCGAAGAAAACATTTTGTTCCTGGGTTACATATTTTTCGATAGTAACGTTTTTAGTTTTTTACTTGATCTGAGATGAAAATCCTACGAGTAGGTAGTGAATATATGCTCAACATTTTTTCATAATATATTATTAGATACAATGGAAGACCAGGCAGATAGTTTTAGTTTGCAGACATTTTTAAACCAGATATCGATAATATACACATAATACTTATTTTATAAAGATATGTTTACGATATTCTCATTATTTTTTTCGATAAATAATCAAAAAAAATAAAAAAAAGCATACTCAAAGGTACGTTTGCATTTCGTCTGCCAAGCCCAAGCGTTAAAATAGAAAACTTAATTTTTTGTTTCGTATGTTGAAAATTTTAATGAAAACTTGCGAGCCAATTTTAACTAATGTTCAATATAAAAGAATGCATCTCAGTCAATGTTTATTATGATGACTACGAATATTACCAGATTTTGTACCCAATTATTTTACGAATATATATTGTTAATTGAAGTTGTTCTGTCGTCGCTACTAGCACCTACGCTTAAATATATCAAATTAAGTACGATCAACACATTAAATGACCATCACTCATAACTTGTTAGGTATTATTATGGCGACGTATTATGTTTTTAATTTATTGTAATTTTCGTCGTTTATCACACGGATCGTTGCTGCGTACATAATTAATGTTCACTAAACGAAAACTCGTGGGAAATATTTGGTCGTCATACGAATCATAGTAATATGTTATTATTTCAACCGATGTCTGCAACAGATGTATTTTCAGTTTCGAATAATGTAACATGGGTAATCATTTTCAAACATACTACAGGAATTACTCAAAAATTGAATTTGGACACATGAATAAATGAATAATGATACATCCCATGGAGTTGACTATATATTTCAATAACTGCTTATAGCAAAATATCGTAAAATTAATTTCGTAAAAAAAATTTTTGATTGAAAATTATAAGATATTCCTCATGTTTTTACATATTTTTCTTAAACATTTTTCGCTGTATTTGCTCACGGTTCCACGAAAATGCGCATTTTTTAAATAAAATTGCCATCAAATTGTCAAGTTTTTGCGAAAATAAAAATCTCCAAAAAAAAATTGATCGATAACAATTATATCAAGTACTACCACTTTGACTACATTACTGATATTATTTTATCATCCTTATTTTTACACCATAAATTAAACCCTACAAATAAGATCGATACTTAAGTATTCGTTGTATAGTTTTTAGATCATTATTAAAGTGGGAAATGTATCAAATATCAATGATGTAATATATATATATAATGTATTTTGAGAATCTCAGATCATGTTGTCGTGCATATAATTTTATTTATATTTTTTTTCATTAATAACACCGATTAAAAATATTATATATTAACTTAACATAAAAATAAACTACGGAAGAAATATGAAATTGGTGTTGAAATAATAAGTACATTGTATAGATACAAAATAGATAGGTGAGAAAAATAAAAGTTTGTGATAAAATTTAATTTATTGATTTAGAATTAAAACTTTCTAGCACAATACACTATCGATATAAGAATTATATGCATATATTTTTTCAATTTAAGGGACTTTAATTAATCAATTATTAGTTGAATAGTTTAATAAATTAAAAGAAATTATTGTTCGATCAGTAAGTACTTAAAGTATATTATTAAGAGGATAGTTTAATCTTGAAAGCAAGTAGGTTTCCAATAAAATGAGAACACTCAAATTAATCTTGGATAGTAATTTTGGGCAATATTGTTGTTTAGTAATTACTAATTAATAACTAAACGAAATATCATTAAGTACTCGAGTTCGATTAAATAATAGTTATAATGTTACTGAACCGTAATCCATCTATATTTTTATTTTTTATACACCTAATCTTTGTTATATGGGCGTAAAATTTCAGTTAAAAAAATTATTTCACTATTATGAGGTACCTGTATGGGTGTCTGTATCACTCTTGGTATTATTTATTTGCGGTTATTGTTTGTTATAATACTAAAATATGATTTCCCATTGACCATAATTACTATATAAGTTACAAATAGTTCTGTAATGATACATAGGTATCATTACATGTCATCATCTTCCTCGTAAAAATATTTGGTACAACGCATAAAAGTGCAAAGAAAACAAATTTAGTGTAAATTACTAAAGTGAAACCAATGTTAATGTCAATAGCAATAACCACGATAATAGACAGATATATTAAATATGTATAATAAATAGAAATCAATTAAGAATTCACTTGTAGATTTCTAGATATTTTAATAGTACACACAATTTTGCAGTATTATAAATTACGTATTTACCACGGCTTCCGTGTTGTGTAATTTGAAAATTCAGTATCGTATCGAGTCACGGGAAAAACCACTAAGATACACCTATTTTTAATATTTATTACTCATATTATCATATTTAATAATAATTTAATATAAATTTCTTATATATTAGGGATAAACGAAATGAACATTAATGTACATATTATATATAGTAAATATTAACAGTCGATTGTTGAAATTTTTTCGTTTTTGATATACATTATGCAATTTATAAATAATAATATTTTTTTAAAACAAAGGTATTGTAGTATTTAAAAAAATTTAATTTATCTTTACATATCGGTAAAAAAGTACCGATGAAATTTACATAAATATAGCATAGATATTGTTGGAATATGTCATTTAATTTGACTATACTAAATTGTTAAAAAAAGTTGACAATTTTATTTGAACTACGGTTTCGTTTTTCTGAAATTATTATCAAAATCATAAGGCTTTTAACTGGCGGTATCTTAAACAAACTTCAGGGTGGTGGAAGGTGAAATATTTTTCATATCAAATACAATCCTTAAAAATAGTAGTCATCAAAAAAAATACGAGTAGTTTGTTAAATTTAAAAATGCATTTCATATAATATTAAATTTATTTTTCTGACATAATAATATACTAAAATGATGCAAAAAATTCATATATTATCAGGATTTTTTTGTAATTTAAGATTATATTATATCATATTATAATCCACCCCCTCCACTCCCGTAGGACCACCACTGACCAGTATAATATTTGAAACCAATAAATATTAATCTGCTCTTTTATTAGAGTATCAAATC